AAAAAAAAAAAAGGTTCTTCACTGGCTGCCACTTCGCCCTCCAAAGATTTTTTTAATTTCTAAAATGTCATTCTTATGATAGCCACAAATTTTGTGAACATCTCTTTTCAACATACACTGCTTCTGTTTTCGATGCCGAGAAGGTGGAGGATGGATGTTGCACCGCCTTCGGGTACCCAAGAGGGTGTGGTGATGATGTCAATGGCCTTGGATGGGAAAAGGATTTTACCACTCCAAGTTTTTACTGTTTATTTGTGACTGTGGACAGGCGCTAATGAACTTTTAATCAGGCTATTGATGAAGGCTCAGTAAGATTTTGTTTTAACTTTAAAAGGCTTCCAGGAAAAAAATACCTAACCATACAAAAATGCCTGGCTAATTTTTATTCATTTGGGGCTATGTTGGGAAGCACTGGGGCCTAAATGATCGCTTAGAGACCCGGGTTCACAGCTGAAATGTCCATAACATTTTTAGTGGTACTGGAGACTCTTGCTATCTAGAGCTACAGTGCCTTCTCTCTGTATTTTTCTTGGATTGTGTTTGCAACCAACTGGTTGTAATTGACCCTCTATTGGGACAAGTTAGGATATGAACATATGACTTTCTTTTAAAAAGAAAGAGAGAGAGAGAGCAAGAGAGAGTGACCATGAAAAAAAAATCATCATTGGTATTTATCTTAAACTTTCATTTCCAACTTCTCTGGCAGCAAGTCAAGGTGCTGTCAGAGTGGAACGCTCACTAAGGGGTTCCTGGAGCAAGGACACTGTACTGAACCCAGAAGCACACAGGAGACAGGAATAGGGGAGGAAAGAAAGTGTTTTCTGGCCTTCAGGATACATGGATACACACAATACCTGGGTCTTGGCTTAAACTTCAGAACTGTTACCTAAGATTCCAGGTGGGCATCTCCCTGAGGGGAATTGGTCACACACCAACCACAGTACAGTGGGCATGAAAATCTGTCAACTCTTCCCGGAAAGCAAAACCCTGTCAAACTACACACGCCTTTCCATTCTCCAAATGCACTGCTCCAGAGGACTCCCCATGGAACTAATCTGTGGGTCATCATCCACTGATAAGCCCCTCACTGCTCCCATAAATAGTTACAGTCCCAGAAACCGTAAGGAGCACTTCTGCTCGGTCCCATAAGGTTGCTGGAGTCAGAGTCCACTCAGTGGTCATAAGTTGGGGTTCTGGTCCACTCAGATGCCCCATCTCCCAGAAAAGAGAAACCCACCAAGGTGGTACACCTAAAACAAGAGGTTTAAAATCCTGTTAGTTTAACCTACCATGGCTAGTTTGGAGAGAAAGAAGAGAGATGTGGAAATAATTGTGTTTGGTGCATGAGATGCTTGCAAATTTATCCCCCAAAGAAGCCTTTGTTACCGTGGCTACTATACAACTGCAGAGTAAAGAGCTGATCTAAGTTAAAAACTTTAGACCAGCCATGTCACAAGCCCTAGAATTTTATGATAGAAAATTTGGAGTCCCTCTCCCTACCCTCGTGCGCTGGAAAAGAGATCAGTGTAAATCACTGTATTAAACAGCTTACACTCTTCCCTTCAAGTTGACTTTTTAAAAAGTTCAATACTTAGGATGCCTGCTTTATGTTACAGTCCTAATAGAGTAAATGGTCACAGGGAGCATTTTCAATCATTAGCACCACAAGACCAGCACACATACCCAATGGCTTCACCTGGGTAGGAGCTAGGAGAGCTGCTTTCTTTACAAAGCTGTGGACCGCAATGGCAGACGGCCCCTCTGTCAGATTGCTGAGCAACACTCAACAGAGGTGACCGAAGACCACTTGACGCAAGGTCCCGGTTCATCTCAGTTTGGGCTTCTCAAGCTTCACACTGGCTTTACATTCTGCCAGACCGAGCAGACAAGAAGTCTTGGCACACAGCATTGAAAACCCACGGGTTTGGCTGCTGGTTAAAAAAGAGCACATGGAAGCAAGTACTTGGCACCACTGACATTTAAAAAAGCACTTCTTAAACACTGTGCTCTATCAAGAGAGCCAGCACTCTCTAGTAATAATAAACCCAGAGTCATTGCCAGGCAGTTGGTTCTGACTCAGAGTGGCTTCTAGTATGGGGTAAGCGGCTGCTCTGGGTGTCCAAGACTGTAAATCCTTACAGGAGGTGAAGCCTCATCTTTCGCCCACAGAGTGGCTGGTGGGTTTGAATTGATGACCTGTAAGTTAGCAGCCCAACTATATAACCCACTACCACTGCTAGGGCTCCTTGTAGTCATAATAGCAGCCAAGAGCTTCACAGTACTTCATCCTGCTGAGACCATACAAGCATTGCTTCATTAATCCCTCACAAAAACCCTAAGGGGGAGGTTACCTTTATTTCTTTTAAATAGATGAAACTAAGTAAAGATGAAAAACTTAAGTAACATGCTACAAAATTGCATTGCTAAGAGTAGAGTCCAAATTCAAAACCAACTAACAAGCAAACCATTGCTGTCAAGTCAATTCTGACTCATAGGAAATATATAGGGCTATGGTTTTCAAGGCTGCAAATCTTCATGGAAACAAACGGCCACTTTCTCTCACAAAGCAGCTGGGTGGTGTGCTTGCATAGCCTTTTGGTTCGCAGCTAAGCACTTCATCACTGCGTCACGACTGTCTTCACATCAACTGCAACTCATCATGACCCTATAGGACAGAAGAAAATTGTTCCTTAAGGTTTCTGAGATTGTAAAATTGTATGGGAACAGAAAATCTCATCTTTCCCTTGCAGAGAAGCAGGTGGGTTTGAACTACTGATCTTGTAGTTAGCAGTCCAGTCCTTAAACCACAGTGCCACCAGGGCTCCTTTACTGCACCACGATGTCTCCTTCTGTGCTCCTAAATTCCAAACCAGACCTACCTAATCCAAAGTGCATGCTCTTAATATACAACATAAGGAAGTTAACAACCACTTCTACACTGCCATCTCCTAAACTGGGCTAGGTTGTTACAGCTATTTCCCTTGAAAGGTACATGGATTTTAAGAGTGACAGACAGACATTCAGACATATGCCAAGGACAGACAAAAGAAACCAAATGCTTCTCAGGCTTTGGGAAATGAAATAAACACCTTGGAATTGGTGTACCTTAAATTCAGTGTCTGAATATACAGTAAGAAAGGTACACATGTGCTTAGCTATGCTTATTTACTAGTCTATTGTAAATAATTTCATTTTTTCCTATCAAAAATCCTGCTTCGGGGTATAACAGATGTAAGAAGAGGAAATGACAAGGGTGGGCATCTGACCTGCTCCAGCTATGCAAGGAGGAAGGAAAAAAAATCAAACTTCACCTTGGCATCACCCAAGGCAGAATTCTTATGAGGATGAATTCGACATGCCTCACACTATCAGTTTTGGGGGATGTTTTTGGCAATTAATTATGCTGTATTTATTATTTTAGAGACCTGTTCATTTACACCACCTAGAGATTATTTCACCCATGGCTCTATTTGGCACGCAGTCTCTTGTCTCTCTCTTCAGCAATGGTGAAGCAGATACTTATTCCCTGGGGAAGAGAAATCCATGGTTTGTTGCCTTTTCTAATAACGAAATGTTGGTAAACCGGGTGGCAAAGCTATTGCCATTGGCATCTTTCACAGGAACCACATCAAAAGAGCCAGGTGTCTCTCTCTGTTGGTGATCACACCAGTTCTTCCCAGGTTAGTACCTCCAGCCACTATACACACATTACCGGTGTCGAGCTTGATGCAATCAGTCATCTTTCCAGTCTCCAAATCAATCTGAAGGGTGTCATTCACCTTGGTGAGTGGAGGAAGAAGGAGAGCAGACGGTGAGAGCATCGTGCGTCACCAGGTGAAGGATTACTTTTGTGCCCACAAAGATCTTTCTGACTTTGCACCACTTGTGCTTGGTCTCCCCGGGTGTAAAACAATGAATAACCAAGCGACCTTTGGTGTCACGGATCAGACGGAAATTCTCTCCGGTCGTGTCAATGCCAATGATATCCATAAAACCAGCAGGGCAGGTTATATCAGTTCGGACCTTGCCATCAATCTCAACTAACCACAATGTGCAAACCTTTTCTAACTTTATCACCTGCTAGAGCATACTGAAGTCTATTTCGTAAGAAGATGTTCAGTGAAGACATTTCTCAGCTTGTGGGGACCAGTAGGTGGACAAAGAAAACACACCAGTCAGTTTGTCCAGCATCCAATGCTTTGGTGCAGCTGTGTGCTTAAGATGCTTCTTGGGACCACGAGCCATGGCTGCGCTGAGTACAGAAAGAGTTCTGACACCCTACTAGTTCTGACACCAACTGTCCCTCCCACGGCACTCTCTACTTTTCAGCTGGTTCCATAATTCAATGCAATGGCCACACAAAACTCACAGACAATATATGACTATGGAGTTTATTAGGATGTTAACAGATTATAAATGCTCAGGATACAATTATTCAGACTGGACAGCTTCTTCTTAGTCATGCCCCCAGGCAGAATTCTTTCTGCCCCTTGGCCTGTCAGCCCCATGGCTCATTGGCCTTGGGCCTGTCCCTTCAATGTTACAAAGCATTCATTCATTCATTCATTCATTCAGTTAGTTCAGGTCCTTTATTAACCAGTACACAATTACTTCTAGTTCGTTGAAACAATAAATCAGACAACTCTTGCCACAGCCATGTCTATCGATGTTGATAGACAGTCATCTCAAGGGCACTCCCTTGAGGACACTGATATTTTGCTATTTTCACCCACCGTAAAGTATTTTAGGGTGACCAGTTTAACCTTTATCGAATGCTCGTCCTTCTTGGGAGTCATGTAAGACTTCTTCCTTTTCTTGGCACTAACACCAAGTCTGAACACAAGATGATTAGTGGACTCCTTTTGAATGATGTAGTCAGACAAGGTAGATCCATCTTCCAGGTGCTTGCCAGCAAAGATCAGCCTCTGCTGATCAGGAGGAATTCCTTCCTTATCTTGGATCTTGGCTTTTACATTTTCTATGCTATCCAAGGTCTCAACCTCAAGAGTGATGGTCTTCCCCATTAGGGTCTCTACAAAAATCTTCCCAAAGCTTTTTTTTTTTTTTGGTTGCACAACACTCTGCCATACACCTCAGTCCAAAAGGCCTCTGTTCTAGCTGAGTGGGTAAGTAAAGCCTAGTTCCCTCTATTAAATGCCTGAGAGCATCCCATCCACAAGCAGGCCTCCTGCCGAAAGGCACTCAGCTGTACTTGGTCTGCGGACTGGAAGCCCACTGCTCTGTTTCCTGCTCTGGCTCTTTCTGTTTCTGCTGCTGCTCCTGTGCATCTGCCACTCCTTCCATGTCAAAGCTGTCTCCTGGATCCAGGAAGTCCAACGCACAAGCATCTGCACACCTTGCTTTTCTCTATTGCTGTTACCCTTCTGTTTCTGAGATGGCTCATTTTATAGCCAGCAGGATGGCAAGCACTATTAACCCATTCACAACCACTCACAGCTGAATCACATAATCCAATGAGTATCTCTGCACAAAACACCCCCCTCCCCCACCTTCTTACCCAGCTCTAGCAGGAAGATGAAGGCCGTTTGGTAGGAGTAACAAAGGCTATGGCTAGAAAAGCCATATTAAATAATTCACTGCACCGCACCTGTCTCTATCTCTGAACTCCATAGCACGCTCCTACAGAATCTAAGGCTCTTTTCAAATTTACAATCCTTGCTTACTTGGGACCTGCATTTGTTTTCACAAGATTCCTATGAGATTGGATGCCATATGCCCTTTGCTGCAGAGGTGATATAATAGTTTGGTATTCTATCAGCGGTGGCTCCATTTCTCATTTATCAAGTAGCTCACTCTTTTTCATGACAGCAATAGCATTAATGATTTAGTAAGTGTCTACGTGTATAAGGCTGTTGGCTGGGCACACTGCAAATTGCCAGAGGGCCAATGAATTGGTGGAGCCAGACACTTCCCAAAGATGAAAATCCCTGGGTGGACAAGTCAGCAAGAGGTCCTGCCACTCCCTCAACTCTGAGATGTTAATAACAGCACCATTCCTTGGACACTGGTTGGAGAAAGGGGCCTTTTCACATAGGGCTGAAACCCTGAGTCAGCAACCAAGACACTGTTAACCATGCAAACTAGCTCCAAATGGCTTTTCTAATTATTGGTTAGCATGCAGGTGGCTTGGAGAAGAGAAGTACAATTTCTGTAGTATGAGAAAATAATAACGTTCTCCCCCAGGAACTCGTTTTGCTATAGATTTAAGGCCATAATTTGTTACAGGCAAGACATTTATACGGCTGTGTTATCGAAGCTAGGATCATCAAGAAATTCTATCAGAAGACACAATGTTTAAGTATAGATCTAATTACTGCAATCATTTCTTTTTTGTTTCCTTTGCAGAGATCCACTTAATCCCATCTCTTAGTGTGGGCACAAGCTGACAGTTGCATGACAAGGAATGTTTCCCTTTGTAAAAAACCCACTTCCTTTCTGTGTAGTTTTAGCCTAATTGAAATGTTTCCTATTAAGCTCAATCAAGGCAGCAATTATCTAATTACTCACTTATGCTTTTCAAGCCAAAAATTTGCCTAAGCTGGTATACTGGAATGAGAGAGAACATATTTATTATTGTTTTTACATTTTCCTGTTTGGATTTTGGACAATAATCATAAACATTTATCCCTGGTCACCAGAATATGTCTACTTAATAATGCTATTTTCTACAGAATTGTCTTACTCGCTGCAAGCCATAGCCCTGCGCCAAATACAGCCCTGTAGATAAAATGATCTTTAAAAGTCTGGTGGTTATGCTACATGAGTGGCGTCACTGGAGAAGGTTAACAAGGACAGAGTCTACTGAAAACAAATCACAAACATATATTCAATCATTTCAAAGTCAGGAGTTTTATGGCTTTTGAGGATAAAAAGTGAATTGCTTAGATTTAATTGAGAAAATAATTTTTATAGCATCACTTTAAAAGAACATGTACCTGCCTGTCTGGATTTTCCCCTGATAGAAATCCCTAAGGTCTCAAGATGATCACAACCAGTCAACAACACAGGTGGTCCACACTTTTTAGGTATAAATTAGAGACATATATATCATTAAAACCAGAATTAATTTTAGAGCGAGTGACCCTCTGAGGTCACTCCTGATTGACTCCGTTTTGATTGGGGGTGTATGCTAGCACAACAGACAAATTGAGTCTGAGCAACTGATATTTTCATTTCCAGGGAATACATTTTATCCTCATTTTCATCTGAAATGCTAACTAATGTGGAACTAATATGGTCCATTACATGGGGAAAGATCCCCAGAAAACTTTAGTGTGAATTTATAACGAGGGAAAGAAACACTTCATCAATCCCCTAGCAGTGACCACTCGACAATATTTCCCCTAAGTTTAGAATAACCAAGAAAATGACCATACCAAAGGAAAATCAACAAATTATAATAATAAATCTACAAGAGAAACGTTCCACTTGCTGGAAGGCAATGAGAACTTTTGCTGCTTTGTGTTGGTAAACAGAAGGGTTCTGTCTGTTGTTTGTCCTCCTTCCCTAATGATGAATGAGTGAAATGCAAGTAGTGTCCTCAAGAATAAGAGGTCTCCGTCAAGACAGACATTTCACTTTTTAATACCTGATTTATCGCAGCTAAGTGATAACTAATAAGAAATTAAGTCTAACCAGTCCCACGTTGGGGGTGGGAGAAATGTACTCTCCCAAACTAGTTGCTACATCACCTGTTTTACAGTTTTGGGGGGAAAAAACCCACTGCCATCGGGTCAATGGCCACTCCTAGCCATCCTTTAGGGCAGGGTAGAACTGCCTCTGTGTGTCCCAAGACTGACACTCTTTACGCTAGTAGAAAGCCCATCTTTCTCCCACGGAGCGGATGGAGATTTTGGAATTTGGACCATGTGGTTAGCAGCCCAACTAGTAAACCACTGCCCCAGAACTCTAGCCCAGGTTGGAAAGAAGTGTCAAAACAGAAAGCGCATGATCTCTTGCAGGTGGTACCACCATTCAGCATTCTTCCTGTCTCTTCAGGGGAGGAGGCAGATCATGGGGAGAAGAAGCAGACATTTCTCTTCGGCTCTGATTTAGGAATTCGGAAGTTGGTGAATGGACTCCATAAGATGGATGGGCGGGTGGGGGGGAGTTTGTTTCTCTATGCCATTCTTCACTTCCACGGCCGAAATAACAAGGTTCAACATCTCGCCGTAGCTTGACCCCATCGTGCTGTGCTCTCAGCAGCTCTGCGCACTCTGCTGTCGTGTGCAGTCAATTCTGTTGTCATGTGCAGACAGTCCTACCCAGTAGGACAGGTAGAACTGCTCCATTAAGGTTCCCAGGGAGCAGGTCACCATGTTTTCTCCAACGCAGTGGCCAGCGGTTCCAACCAGCCACCTTCTGTTAGCAGCTACGTGCGTAACCAATGCCTAGGTAGGCTTCTTTACACACTCGAGAAAAAGAGCAAATTCCGTTTACAACTGGGAAGAGTGGGAGCCTGAGGCTATCAGCTGATCCCATCAAGGTCTGGCCGTAAAGACCAAACGGCAATCTGTCCCAACAGTCTATATGGGCCCTTGGCTGACTCTGAACAGCCCAGGGGTCTAGTCAAAGGCAGCCACATTGAACTTGGCAACACCTTGATACACCAACCAACTCATAAACCTCCCACATAGTGTCCAGCAATAAGCAAAAGAAAACACGCCATTAAACCCAATGTGGTCCTTGTTTTCAACATTATTTAGCGCCTGAAATTTTCAAGTTGAGTTGCTTTTGCCTTTATTTCCCCCTCTTACTTTGCACCAGTTCTCATATTTCTATCCTTCCTCTACTGCAGTAATTCAATAGAACTAATTATGGCTTTAAAATAGTTAAATAAGCAAATGACTGAAGGTCTCCTTCCATTTTTTCCTGATGCTGGGTCAAATGGCTCCCTGAGTTTGCCTGAAATGATACCTTTAAACTGCAAGACCTTGCAGGTCTGGCCTGAGTCTTCTTTTGAGAGTTTTTTTTCCCTTTTCTTTTTTTTTTTCTTCTGATATCCTGCTGCACTTCACAAAGTGTGATGAAGTGGTGCTATTTTATCCAATTTTAAAGTAATGAATGGCTGGGAAGATGTTAGGAAAATAGAAGCTTAAAGTGGAGATCCCATAATTTCTTCATTATAATTATAGTCTCCACATATATGCTTATCCAGTTTTCCTTTTATGAATACTTTTTCTATGTAAAGCAATTTTAATATCTTGCTTGTCTGTTGTTATTTTGCTTTATGGCCGACAATACATCGTGTTCCTGGTTTTTTACAATACTGCGTGTTTTGGCAGAAGAAATGTGAATAAAATAATAATGTATGCTCTCTTGTTCTAATAAGACTGATTAATGAGTAGTACCCCAAGTCTTCGACTACAGATCATGAGTTTCCACTGATAAATATCATGGTTTGCTTTTCATCAGTCTACTGAAAGTTTAAGAATCCAAATGTTTCAACCCAAAGAGTACCTAAATGTGAGGTAAAATCAAATGTTAAAAAGTTATCACTTGTTATTGACCAAGTTAAAAAAATAAGTCATAAAGTTTAAGGCTTATAAAATGTTGACATTCCCGAGGGGCTGGCCCCAATCCCAACTACATGGACAGGCACACCTCTCCCCCGAAAAATTTACTTCAGAGGAAAGCATTGAAGCTACAGCTCAGGGAAAGG